TCACACTAGGCACATTTCAAATGCTCAATAGTTGTATGTGGCTACTGCCGTCATATCAGACAGCACAGGTAAAGAAAATTTCCGTCATTCCAGGAAGTTCTTTGGGACGGTGCTAATTTCAAATACCATTATCCCAGTAATTCATTGGTTTAATATATTCTTCAAATGAATTAGCTATTTTCTAGGCTCTGAGGGACTAGGATGTTAGAGTTGTGGTGGCAGTGAGTGATCAGGACAGATCTGATACAGTGACTCACTGAAGTAACCTAAACAGCCAAGAGGTATATACTGAGTACCGGAGAAGTAGAATTCCAGAATAAGTGAGAAAAGTCATAATGTCAACATTTATTCCTTAATTACCTTTCAAAGGAATCTTCTTATTCTTTTCAGATTCACCTGGCATTCCACCTAGTGCTAATGCACATCAGCTTTTTCGGGGGTTTAGTTTTGTTGCTATTACCTCAGATGATGAAAGCCAAGCTATGCAGACAGTTGGTGTACATTCAATTGTTCAGGTGAGTGGATGTCTAAATACTTTTAAATTTGAAATGTTTTTAAGATACAGCTTATTGTGTGAATAATTAGATTTTTTTCTGCTGACTCCAAGCAGCTTAAAATACATTTTATATCATTAATGTTACTCTTAGAAATTTCTTCCATATGTCATTGAAAAGGTTATAAGAACCAAAATCCTGGATACCTATGTGACTTGAAAATAGAATTCTAAGAGAGTTGAGACAAACATCGCTGTCTTGTCTCTCTTCTTTCCTGTGCCTCAAAATGTTTATCATGCCTAGTTTGTTTCATCTCCTGCCTCTCTCAGGTCATCTGTGATGAATTGAGGTCTCCTGGTTCCTTGATGCCTTAGAACAAGGGTTAGCAGACTCTCTGTAAAGGGTCAGATAATAAATATTTGAGGCTTTATGGGCTATATGATCTCTGTCACAATTACTCAACTCTGCTGTTGCAGCACAAAAGCAGCCTTAGATAATACATAAACAAATGGGCATGGCTGTGTCCAGTAATACTTTATTTACAAAAACAGATTTGGCTTACAGGCTTACAGTGTGGCAACCTCTGCCTTAGAAAGATATAAGAAATAAAAATAAACTCAAATCTTAAGTTTTCCAAGTTTTGTGTTCTTGTTCTTCTGGAGCCCCTTTCGTCATTAGGAAGAAATGGTCATCGGTACTGCCTTAGGGTGCCCCCTATCTCTTTATCCCATCTCTTCATCAGAGTTGGAGAAAAAGTAGGTAAAGGCCATAGAAGAAGCAGGTTTCTAGGAGGGTGTGGGAGTATGTTTGTAACAGGAGATTGGACTAGTAAATTAAATATTGTTAGAGGAACACAAGTAGTAGAAACCACTGGATTCCTTTCTTCTCATACTAATATCATAGAAAGATAAATTTAATTCATGTTTGTAATTATAGAGGGAACTGGATATATTTTTTGAAGCAGTGAATTGTTTTTAGAGTATCATTAGTGCTTGAATTTGCTTGATGATTAAGTTTCTTTTGCTCTAAAGTTTTTTTTTCGTGAGTCAGTCATCTTGCTTTCCACTTTCTAGAAAACCAATTTAAACTCTGATTTTCAAATAAAGTTCGTGTTGAAAAAGACTGTCCCTTTTACTATGCAAGCACATGAATGTATGGCAGGTTTTTAAATTATAAATTCTGTACTTAACATAGAAACTACAAACTTAATAACAGAATTCAAGTTTTATCCCCTTCCAAGCTCATAGGCATGGAGGTCTCATATCAGTATAGCCAGGGGCAACACAACTTACCTCAGCCTGTTTATAGAACCAGTAATTTGCTGTTCATCATCTACCACATGTTATTAGTCCCTAACCCATGAACAGCTTCTTTAGCAGAAGTTATATAAAGCTGTGACTTGAGGGTGAAGAAAGGAGGGCATGGCTACTGAAAGTCCAAAATGATAACAGATACTGCTTGCAACGTATGCATTGTTTTTATTTAATCCTCACCATTACCCTCTGAGAAAACACAGGCTCAAAGTTACATGGCCTATAAGTAGTGCATCCGAGACAAGAATCCAGATATTCTAATACTGAATCATCCTAAATTTTTTCCTTCTATACCAGGAGTTTCCAATTTCTCCTCATTTGCAAAAGTGCTTCAAAAACCTATGGCTGGTTGGGGAGTGGAAGGGGGCTAAATCACAAAGTTATAGGTTCTTTATCAAATAGCTCTGCTTTTTCTGTTGTACATATTCAGTTTATCTTTTTAACATAAGCTTTTTTGAAAGGCATATTTCTTAGTGCACATTTTATTGCAAATACTTCTAAAATATGTACTTATAGAAGAATAGGTGCTATAAAGACTCATTTTTATTCTTGCTGATATTAATTTATATTTATAGTTAACATCAACAATGCATGCTGAGTAACAGATTCCCCTATTATGAAATGAACTAAAGGCATTACAGAACTCTTCATCAGTTTCTAATTTTGTTTGTAGCAGTTGCACAGGAACAGTATTCAGTTTACTGATGGGTATGAAGTAAAAGAAGATATTGGAGTTGGCTCCTACTCTGTTTGCAAGAGATGTATACATAAAGCCACAAACATGGAGTTTGCAGTGAAGGTAAATATTTTTAAATTTAAAATGCAGCTTGAACAGTTGTTATTCATGCATGTCAGTACCAGATAAAAATTACATTCTTCTCTTTGGTAAAAGTGCCTTTTGTTATAAAAAGTTAAGGTAAATTTAAATATCTGGCTAGTTATCTTCAGAGATCTTAATCTGGAACCATGGATTTCCCCGTGGGTTAAAGGTAAGGTGATTATATATCCAGTTTGTCCAGGGAAGTACCAGTTTGCACCTCACATGATTTTTAAAGCACCCCCTTTACTCTCAAAAGTCCCCATTTTATGATCAGGGTGTCAGAAAATTCCTCAAAATTGTGTGCCAAGATTTGTGTGTTTACCTTTTTTCTGGCAAAAATGTTTATACCTTTCTTCACATCTAAAAGGATCTGGGAACCAATAAAAAAACAAAAACTACTATCATAAAATTTATTAGCATTAGCTGTTTTAATTTCATCAGATATTCTAAGACAGATTTTTCTAAGCCAAAACCAAGGCACCTCTCTCTGTGATGAAGTTTGAATTTCAAACATTTAGTTATAAGTGAACAAATACTGTACTGAAGTCTCTGCCTTTTCACTCCTTGGAATAAAAACCTATGCTCTCCAATCTCAAGCAATTCAAGTAATATCTTAAAGGTTTCAACTTATCTTGAACCTTAGAACTAGTTAATAAATACGGGCAACTCATGTTTAGCTAGCGAGAGAGTGACATTAATTGTTATCACTATTCTATACTTGGATGTAATTGCTTTAAAAAGTCATCAATGTGTATAAGGCTTTCTGTTAGATAAAAGGATAAACCATGGCAATACATTTAATTTGGTATTCTCCTATTCATTGCTCTTATTGAAATCTGGGATACATAGAAATTTTCAAATTGCTTACATAAAAGGAGAAAAAAGGAATAATGTATTTGGTGGTCAGTTTAAGGATGTATCTTGCCTCCATAAACACATCAAAAAAAGCAGAAATGTCCTGAAGCCCCCTTTGAATTACAGGAACCAGAAGCGGTATACCCAAAGCCTTGAGAATATCTTTAAGGTTATTTGTTGATTCTTATGACTTAAATTAGAACCATAAAACCAATATCAACACAGCTGGATTCTACCGAAATTACCACATATTTGAGGTCCACAAGCACAAGTATAGATATAATATAAGCTGGGCTCAGATTAACAGATCAATGTTGTCAAAAATAACACCTCCCAGTGTGTTCTGGTTTTCAGAAGACTAGTTCCAGATCATCTCTAGAATTGGCATATCTATTCCATATACCTATCCTCTAAATTACCCTTTTGCCTAATTCCACACTGTCATTTGCAGTTGATTACAGTGAGCACCTATATATTCGTCTTTCCCTGTTCTCCAAATACAGAACTGCTTTACAACTACAGTCAACTGTTGAAAAACACAGAGATTAGGGTCACTGACCCCCACGCAGTCAAATCCACTTACAACTTTTGACTCCCCAAACACTTAACTACTAATAGCCTACTGTTGACCAGAAACCTTACTGGTAACATAATTAACACATATTTTGTATGTTATATGTATTTTATACTGTATTCTTACAATAAAGTAAGCTAGAGAAAAGAAAATGTTATTAAGAAAATCATAAGGAAGAGAACATATATTTACTGTTCATTAAGTGGAAGTGAATCATCATAAAGTTCTTCATCCTCATCATCCTCACACTGACTAGGCTGAGGAGAAGGAGGGAGAGGAGGGATTGGTCTTGCTATCTCAGAGATGGCAGAGGTGGAAGAAAGTCCATGTATAAGTGGACCTGTGCAGTTCAAACCCATGTTGTTAAAGGATCACCTGTAAATCCATTTCAGATAGAAGATTGAGCTCACACTGAGAGTTCTAACCTCTTTCCTAGGTTGCTAGAGTGTTTGGGTATTTATTGCAATACATTAATTACTAAGTTGTTTTAAAATTGAATATACAAAGGCCAACAAATTTGTTTCAGACCACCTTTTGAATGAATTGAAAACAAAATTTGTCTTTTTAATATAATATTACTTTAACAGATTAAAACATTAAGAGAAATATCTTTAAGAAGCAGCTGACATAAAAGGGTTAGAAAGCTACATTAGTATTTTAAAGGGCTTTATTATAATAATTAAACTTAATTCCAGCCAAGTAAAATTCTTGGTGTGGTTTTCTGTGTAGCTTTCTGCCTAGCTTCAAAATAAACATGTTCTACTTAACTGGTAATTAATTTTTATAAGTAGCTTGCGACTAATGGGGTATTCCATTGAAGTATTTTATTAAAGGAAGTCAGATGCTAGCGGTGGTGTTATAGATACATCTAGCTCTTAATTATCTCTATTGATAGGGGTTAGAAGTTGACTGAGTTCCCAAATGTTTAAGACACGCAGGGATGGAAAAAAAGATATGTTAACTGTATTCTTGGTATCTTTTCTCAAGGCTTTTGAATATTTATTAAGTCCTAAACTTACTACAAACTTACATTGGAGAGACCTGGTGGGAATGTGACTCATGGATTAGAGTTTACAGCCTTGCCATCTATATCAAGACTGGCTCTGGCTGGGTGCGGTGGTTCGCACCTGTAATTTTAGCACTCTGGGAGGCCGACACAGGAGGATCACTTGAGCTCAGGAGTTTGAGACCAGCCCGAGCACTCAGGAGTTTGAGACCAGCCCGAGCAAGAGTGAGACCCCGTCTATACTAAAAATAGAAAAAGTTAGCCAGGTATGGTGGCACACGTCTGTAGTCCCTGCTACTAGGGAGGCTGAGGCAGGAAGATCGCTTGAGCACAGGAGTTTGAGGTTGCTGTGAGCTAAGCTGATGCCACGGCACTCTAGCCTGGGCAACAAAGCAAGACTCTGTCTCAGGAAAAAAAAAGACTGGCTCTCGAATTAAACAAACAGTCTGGCCAGGTAGTTGAATAAAACTGATTGATAAATAGCTTATCAGTATATATAGTATATATTATACATATGGTAATACCTAAGATCTCTAGCTGTAAATAATTAAGGTTTATAACTGTATAGTTGATGAAATTTTATGATAAATGTCTGCCTTTTAGATTATTGATAAAAGCAAGAGAGACCCAACAGAAGAAATTGAAATTCTTCTTCGTTATGGACAGCATCCAAACATTATTACTCTAAAGGATGTAAGTAGATTCTTTGACATGGATCATTTGAATCAGTTGTCTAACTTACATTTGGAATACTGTATTTTCAAACATCCTATGGTAGACAACTCAATACAATAAGTTTGAAAGTTATATTTGAGAACAATGTATATAGCATAATTCCATTTATCAAGAAAAATGTTTAAATAGTTAATTTTTCTACTTTTGCTTTAAGAAGAAAAGTATTTTTGACATTATTGCTTTTAGTATCTGTATTTATTTGAACATTTACCCAAATGTTCAATATTAATATTATTATTAATTAATATTCAGGATTGACTAGTCTCACCCTTCATAAAGTCCCCAAACTGTTTTCCACATTACTGCCAGAGAGATCTAACGCCCATATCTACCCATGTAACTTCCCTGCCTACAATTCATACTCCCCAGCCCCTTAAGCCCCTGCCTTCCTCTGTGGTAGTTTTCTTCTTCACACACACTTCCTCACACACCTTATGCTTCGTGCACTAGTATGTACAATTTTTGAGTGTGCCTCATTTTCTCATGCTACTCTTTGAGTTACGCTTCCCTCAGTTGTGAACACCATTCCCCTTCTTCTTTGCCTGACTAACTACCACACATCTAAGATTTTGCTAAGGCATTACTTCCTCCGGGAAGCCAGCCCTGCCTTGCCCATCACCACCCCCAGGATAAGTGAGATATCTTTTCCCTGGGCTGTCACGATACCCTGCTACCTGTGTGTCTCCCGGCTTTTATTATAGCGGAGTATTGGCAAAGGGTGTGAACTCCCTACGCAGTGTTAAGTCCTCTCTTGCTGTTGAATATCTTCATGCACAAGGGATGCTCACATAGGTTCAAAGGCCATATCTGGGTGTTGTCAAAACTCCAGTTTCCTCAGATTAATTTATGACCGCTCATTGTTAGATGGAGAATGTTAACTTAGTCACATTAAAATGTGAAGCTGTTTAAGTGACTCTTTAAGTAACATAATCTTCAAGAATACAACCAAAAAAATGAAAAAGGAAGTATAGAAAATACTTCCTGAGCCTTGCCTTGGAAGCTCCCTAAGCTGTCACTATTTTTTTTACATCTTTGCTCCTTCCTTCATTTCAAATTCCAAAGTCTCTAAAATTTTCCTGACTTTTAGTACAGCATGTACAACACTTTTTTTACTCTTATTTATGTCTGTTCCTCCCTTCTACAGTAAAAAAATTTGAGGATAGGTACCTTGTTCTCTCCATATTTGGGGCCCTGGCACATACCTGTATAGTACCTGGTACTTCTTATGGAGCTAAATAAAGGTTTTCAGTAACTCTATGGTGAGGGGAAAATAAAAAGGACTGAAGTTTAATAAAGAGATTATTTTAGTTAGAGATTGCCCAGAGTACAAATCCAAAATATCAGTGAGCTTTCTATTTCTACATTAGGAGTTCACTAGTATGCTTTTGTGTATTTGGATGGGATTTCTCTTTGCTCCTTAATTTTCCTACTTAATTGTTGTCTACAACTTGTCTTTCAATTTAATCAAAACCAGAATAATTCATTCTGGGTATACAGAAGTTCTGCCATTGCAGAAATTCCAGGAAGATCACAGGAACATGCCAGTCCCTGCCTTCATCAATAGATTAAAAAAAAAAAAAACAAGATCAAGAAGAGGAATGAATCCTAAGAGCAAAAGTTCAATGCCTCTTCATATACTATGACTTGGATTGCTCTGAATTAAGTTCCACAGAAGGAAGTTACTGGATATTTTTCTGATATTCAATCCCATCAATCCCTATTTTAATATTCTTACATGTATAAAATTGAAAATTTAATATCCTCCATTGGTTGTAACAAGTAAAATTTTTTCATGAACATAAAATGAATTTTAATTTCTCTTTAATATGCTAATCTTTGTTTTGGGCACACGTAAAGCTTCAAATAAGTTTTTACATTTTGATGTTGAATTTTATAGGTATATGATGATGGAAAATATGTGTATGTAGTAACAGAACTTATGAAAGGGGGTGAATTGCTGGATAAAATTCTGAGACAGAAGTTTTTCTCTGAACGAGAGGCCAGTGCTGTCCTGTTCACTATAACCAAAACTGTTGAATATCTTCATGCACAAGGGGTAAGTCTTTTTAACATTTAATATATATGTGTGTATGCACACCTTTTTTCTTTTTCTTTCTCAATGGTTAAGCTAAAATTACAAAGGTAGAGGTAGAAGTTACTTTATGCATGTAATAGAGAGTAACTACTATTAGCTTAACAGATTGACTGCCATGTGAGTTGTATTAACTCATGCTAGTTTTGAGCCCGGGGCCTCGTGAAGCAAAATCCTGCAGTTGGTTCGTGAAAATCTTGTTGATGTTCTTATTGTTACAATTAATATTGACAATTTAATTCTAAAAAATGTGGATTGCGTTGCATATAACTCATGCAAAGAAAACAATAAAAAATAAAGAATTTTTCATTAAATTAGAAAGGATTGCTTTGTTTTTGAAATTTTTATCCTGTTTTCATAATAAAATACCATGGCCCCAAAGAAAAAAATTTATTTTGTAGTGTGGCAGTCATTGTGTTAATTATCCTACTGGTCCTCCTCTACATAAACTTCTCCCATTGAGCTTGAAGTGCTACCTTGAAATTCTAGCTTATTTATATCATACTCTTAGGCTTTCCAAGAAAAAGTGAGTGAGATCTTCTGATCTGGAAAACATAATATCATTTCTGCTAGGTCACCTTGTACCCTTGAAAACCAGGCCCACTTCAAGTTAGAAGCAAAACCAGGGAATCCTGTATTCACATGTAAAAGGAAATCCTTAAAACAAATGAGGCCAGGTAGTCATCTGGCTTCTGGCTGGGTGGATGCTTTCTTCATTTCTTCCTGCATACAGATTTTTAGTAAACAGCAAAAGAATTAATATTTTTAAAGAAGGGAAGTCTGGGATGGAAAGAGGAGAAAGGAGAAAATGAGGGGTGACAAGGAAGAAAGGAGAACAGCAGAGGAGTAAAGAGGGATGGAAAGCCAAAAAAAAAAAAATAAAAGATTGCCTCTTTTTAAAAATTTCTTTTAGTGGACAAATAAAAATCAGATATATTTATGGTATACAATGTGATGTTTTGATATGTATACAAAAGATTACTTCTTAAGTTCAATTTCAGTGCATTGTTCTCAGTTCGTCTTTGCCCCTAAAAGCCAACAAATAGAATGTGTTAATTCTGTCAAATCACAACTTGGTAAGAAGAAAGAAAAAAAATTAAAAAGAGAAATTTTTTTAAAAGGGGAATATGTTAATGCTAGAGCTTCCTAACTTCTGGCTTGTCAAGATTTGCCTAGTGTATTGTACCTTGAAATTAGTAGAACTCAGTATTCACTGAAGAATTTATGCAGTCGTCTTCCATGTTCTTTTCCCAATACTTCATCAGTAATTAGTCCTTAAAATAGTCTTGGAAACTATTTTAGGAGAAATAATGGAGAAGTAATGTGCTGGATGTTAGGAACTATAACTTGATTGATTGGACTATAGACTTAGACTTTGGTGATGGAAGAAAACACTCAAGTCTAAAAACGAGGGTTAGAGAAGCTTATGATAAAAGAAGTTTAATAGTCCCCCCTTATCTGCAGTTTCGCTTTCTGTGGTTTCAGTTACCCACAGTCAACCATGGTCTGAAAATATTATGGTATTTTGAGAGCGAGAGAGAGACCACACTGACATAACTTTTATTATTCTAATTTACTATTAGTCATTGTTAATCTCTTACTGTACCTAATTTATAAATCAAACCATTGGTATGTATAGGGAAAAACATAGTGTATATAGAATTCGGTACTATCCTCAGTTTCAGGCATTCACTGGGGGTGTTGGAACATATCCTCCACAGATAAGGGGGGACTACTATATTCAAGTAGGTCATTAAAGGAGGAAAATAATATAAAACTGTTTTAAAAAGGTATCTTTTTGTGTGTGTGACATCTTCGCTTGTATATCAAATAGGCGATACCTGAAACAAAGTCCAGATTTAATTTTTCCTTTTTATTCCTAAATGCCATGTCTGTTCCATTTAGTCTGTCAACTCTTATTTGTTGTGTGTATGCCTTGTACATGCTATTCCCTCTACTTAGAATGACTTTTCCACACTGTTCTTATGGCTTCTTCATTCTGTTCTTCACTCTTGGATCAGATGTTACCTCCTCTGGAGATCCTCCCTGACCACACTATTTAAATTGACCTCCCTAGTTTTGCTTCATCTCTTAACCTGTCCATTCTCTGCCTTCCTGACTACTGTGTAAGCTCCTAGCATGGAAAGACCAGGATCTTATGGGTCTTGATCATCACAGTATCCTCACCTTGTTATATAATACACTGGCACATGATAGGCACTCAATAAATATTGTTAGATGAGTGGATAACCTGAAGGGAGAGGTTATTGCTCTTTGCATTTCTCCTTAAACCTATTACTCATTTGGACAAAGAGGAGGAAGGTAAATACTGTTCTTTCTTCCTCCTCCTTGCTCCAGGTCTATGTTAGAGAATTACACTTTACATTACCAGCATTTTATAATGTTGGGATAACTTCAGGTCAGCACTCATCATCTTGTTAAGTACATTGCTTGACAGTTTGTGAATAAAGAACTTTCGGTAATGGAAATGTATTGTTAATGTTAACTCTTATAATTTGTATTTCAATTAGGTGGTTCACAGAGACTTGAAACCTAGCAACATTCTTTATGTGGATGAATCTGGTAATCCAGAATCTATTCGAATTTGTGATTTCGGCTTTGCAAAACAGCTGAGAGCAGAAAACGGTCTTCTCATGACTCCTTGTTATACTGCAAATTTTGTTGCACCAGAGGTAAGTGTGAGAGAGTTTACTTGCAGCATTTCAGTATGTTTAAAAACTCATTTGCTATGTTTAATATAAAATAGTTTATAACGTGATTTAATTGAAGACTTACTGAACAAATAATTAGGATAAAATGCCTGCCCTTTATTTTCCTGTTTAATGCTTCAATGACATCTGATTGCCTACAGGAGAAGAATCTAAATTACTTAACGAGATATCATAAAAGCCCTTCAATCTCTCTAGTATTCCGTACCTTAAGTTCTGGCCACACTGAACTTCTTGCCTATCACTAAGCCTGCTGTGCTCTCTTGCCTCTGCCCTTTGAATGTCCTCTACCCTCCCCCACCTCCTCCATTTGCCTACTAAACTCTTACTTATAGGTCCAGTACAAGTGAGCCAGCCTCTATCCTTCCCTCTCTCCCCATGTCAAGAATAAATTGCTTCCTCATTTTTATACCCATAGCACTTCAGACATGATTTTGTTACAATACTTATGTTGAATTGTTAACTATTTCTATGTTTATTTCCCCTGCCAGCTCCTGATTTTTTTAAGGAAATTAGGGATTTTTGTATCTATCATAGCTGATGCTTGATAATACTTGGTTATTATTAAATGCTTGAGTGAATCAAATTATACATAAAAGTACTATCTTGCACTATATCATTTGTGCTAGGTTATGCGTGTTCTTAAAAACATTGTTTTTTGTAACCATTTCTGTAGCCCCATGCAAAATATAAATTCATTAAAATAAGAAACTTCATTTTGTTTTATAGTCTCCTGTGTGCCTACAGTACTCAATAAGTGTTCATTTGAATACCAAAATTAAATTTTTATATATGTGAATTAGTAGTAGAATGTTCTAGAATAAGATTAATATATTGCCTTATTTGTTAATCATATTCTGTTGGCATTTGATTATAGGCATTTGATTTGAGAGATAGAATTCAGTTCACAGCCTATCCAAATATGTATAAAAGACAATGGTGTGGTAATACTAATTTTTCACTTTTTCTAGGTTTTGAAGCGACAAGGCTATGATGCTGCTTGTGATATATGGAGTCTCGGTGTCCTTCTCTATACAATGCTTACCGGGTGAGTATGTACCGTGTGTTCTAAGCATTTATTTTGCTTAATCTAGGTATTTTTCTTAATCCATATGTTGTCATATCTTTCTATGTTTTCTCATCTGTCTAATATGTACAATCCTGTATTCCACATTTATAGCTATATCATTACTGATTTTTTAATAATGTACCAGTTATTAATATCTTGAAGTCTTAAATTGATTTTTTCCATACCTTTTTTATACTCTCATTATGTCAAAAAATACACTAGTTTTTAATACTTTATAATGTGTCATATGTTAAAATATTTATATTATTGTATATTAAGTCTAATGTTTTATAACCTAAACCTTGACCTGGTGCTTTATGGAACTTCATTTTATTGATTTTTTTTCCTCTTTGGTAGATTTGAATAAAGCATTACATAAACTAAATTACTCAGAGTACTTTTGGACACTGTCAATAAATATAAAGATTACACTAACATTTTAATTTTATTATAAATTAGTTACACTCCATTTGCAAATGGTCCTGATGATACACCGGAGGAAATATTGGCACGAATAGGTAGTGGAAAATTCTCACTCAGTGGTGGTTACTGGAATTCTGTTTCAGACACAGCAAAGGTAAGAATGGCTTCCAGTTACTAGCTTTTGAGAAAATAATTTTTCATAATTCATAATGAGAAGAAATACCATCAGTTAGAAACCTTTGTTTAAAAATTAGTATGTTGAAGTGATGTTACCAAATAACTTGAACTCGAAAATAGACCAATTATTTTGTTTCTTTCCCAGATGACATTGGTTTGGCCTTATTATCTATCTGCATCTAAAGCTATTTCTTACTGATGAACATGACGAATAATAATAGTGATAGTCTTCATGATTTGTCTGTCTATTGTGTGCCTCACACTGCACTTTACCTAAATTAGCTCACGTAATCCTCATAACACCCCGTGAAATAGGTGGTAGTATCCCCATTTCACAGAAAGAAACCAAGGCCCAGAATTTCAGTATGAACTTGTCCATGGTAACACACCAGGTACATGTGGGTGTTTCAAACTAAATTATCTGATTTCAAAACCCTCATTCTCTAGAATAATTACACCATGTTCTATTTTTGATTCATGTTATAAAGAAAGGGATCTCATCTTTTTCACAATAAACAGTGGCATAGTTTTATAGCATCTGCTTGAAATCAGTTTGAAGAGCCCTTCTCACTGGAAGATCTGCCATCCCCTGAATAGCACTGACTTGCTTTCCAACTCTGCTCTACTTTCACTTTATTCATAGAAAATTCTTTTTTTAAAAAAAAGTACAGTTTTCCACTTCAAAATAAGAAAAACATAAAGGAGATAAAGAAGATACATATTAGTAAAAATGCTTCCTGATTTTTCTTAGGGGTGGAAGCTTAGTTGAAGTGATTATGTAAGTAAGTAGAACACATCAAAAATGTACATAGATTCTATTGGCATAAAGCATGAAGCTTCAGCTGACCAGTTTAATGTCTGTGTAGATAACATTTGGTTTTATAACTGCATTTAGAATGAAATGTTAGTCCTTACCTTTTTCTAATAATAAAATTTCTTAAACCAGATAATTCATTTTTCTGGGTACCTGCTTCCTTTGTACTTCCCTTATTGAGCACCCACAATATACTTAATACATGAAGGCCCTAGAGATTAAAGATGTGACAAACATAGAATTCCTGATCTCAGGAAGCTCACAGCTTTCCAGAAGCAGTGAAGGAGTTTGCCAGGCAGATTTTGGCAGCAGAAGGATGTAGTTCATCGCAAGCTGAGGGAGCAGCACATGTATATAGGTAGTGATGATAGCATGAGAGTAGCAGAATGCCTCTAGGCGGGTCCTTCCATGTGACTAGTGCAGGGTGCACAGGAAAGGTTAGCTGATGAACCCAGATTGTGAAAGGCTTTGTGGCTCACGCTCAGGATTGTGGGCTTACTCTGGGTATTGTGGAACTGTTAAAACATTAAGCAGTGCAGTGCTCAGACTTTCCTTTTGAAAGTATACTCCATGGAACAGTGATTCTCATCAGTAGAGTCTGCCATAAACTTAGTAATGACCAGTTATAAGGTATATTAAGTAAAGTTACTAATAATAAACTATCACAGCTTATACATTACTTGTTTTTTTAATAAGTTAAAGCAAGTTGAGATTATAATTTTATTCTCATTCACTTGCATCCCAGTATGCTTTTTTTGGTGAGAGAGAAAGGGATGAATGAGGATAGAGATACAAATAGAGCACAAAAAATTACATCCAGTTCACAGCCTGTCTTGTAAATTCCATGTTGTTAATGGCAACTTTTGCTAATATGTACAGTTACGACTTGTGATTACAAGCATGATGTAATACCAGGACTAGCCACAAAATGGAAGGGAGGGCTCTATCAATCTGGGTGTGTCCCCTAAAGAGCAAGTTACACATGTGAATGTTATTGGTCATGTGGGCCATACATGTCAAATGTAGCTTTGAGAAGAACAGGACCATAGCTGCCATTTTCTGAGCTTTTACGTGCCAAGGACTGTGCTAACACTTTTACATTGTTTCATTCGGTCCTCACTGACCTAATACTAGGAACATTACTTGTAAGGTTTTGCAATATTTCAGGTCAGGAATGATAAGAACCTAAACTAGAGCAGTTGTAATGGAATTTGAGCCAAATGGAAGAGAAATTTAGGAGGCAGAATAGACTTAGTGGTTTATTAGACATAAGAAATGAAAGAGAGGCCGGGCGTGGTGACTCACGCCTATAATCCTAGCACTCTGGGAGGCCGAGGTGGGTAGATCGCTCAAGTTCAGGAGTTCGAGACCAGCCTGAGCAAGAGCAAGACCCCATCTCTACTAAAAAAAATAGAAAGAAATGATCTGGACAACTAAATATATATATATATAAAAATTAGCCCAGCATGGTGGCGCATGCCTGTAGTCCCAGCTACTCGGGAGGCTGAGGCAGAAGGATCGCTTGAGCCTAGGAGTTTGAGGTTGCTGTGAGCTAGGCTGACACCACGGCACTCTAGCCTGGGCAACAGAGCAAGACTCTGTCTCAAAAAAAAAAAAAAAAAAAAAAAGGAAAGAAATGAAAGAGAAGCAGGTATCAAGCAAGCAGTCCCTATTTCTACCTCGGGCAAATGGGCATGGGGTGGTGTCCTTTAGAGAGATGTAGAATACAAAAGTAGTTTTGGAAGGAGCAGTGGTTGCAGATTTGGACGTTATAAATTTGAAATGCTTAAGCGATATAATTAGGAGATGTATGTCCATTAGGCAACTGGCTATATAGGTATAGATTTTAGGTGAGAAGTCTGGGGTGAAGCTTGAAGAGTTGTTATCATCCATAGTAGCCAAAGTCGTGAGTATGAATGAGATTATCTGAGCAGAGGGGTAAGAGAGCTAAGGAAGGAGTTTGGGGGAGCACCACCATTAAAGGAATAGCTGTAGAAGGAGAAGTAGTTCCAAGTGACTTTGCCAAAAGTGCATTGGTTAACACACAGATTTGATTAAAATGATAACAGAGTTTTGTCATAGCTCTGGGAAGTTTTACAACTTTTTATGCATTTTAAGCACTTTTGCCCATTTTCAGAATTTTAAAGGGGAGCTTCCTAATTTTTTTAGCTTTTTAACTTCTAGTTCTGTTCAGTAGCTTATTCCTGTTCTTAGCTGTTAATGATAACTAAAAATAAGAAACTGTAAATGTCTAATAGCAGAGGAGTACTTGGAACAACATCACCCCAATTCCCAGTATCTAGTCAACCACCAGATTCTGTCAGTTCTTTCTCCTAAATGCCTCAATTCCATGCATTTCTCACTATCTTTTATACCCCTCCCTGAAACTGTCATCTTTCACCTGTCTCCAAATTGGAGTCTCCAGGCTTGTCCCCACAAATCCATTTTCCTCTACACTTAGTGGGTGTGATCTCTCTACTTGATCACATCGCTCCCTTACTTTAACACATTGACTGCCACACTAGAAAAAAAAGGTTTTTTGCTTGGCGCCATGGTGTTTTATTACTAAAATAGAATAAAACCTTTGAAAATAAAATGATCTTTTCTAATTTAACACAAAATGTGTTATTTTTTATTGTTTTCTCTGCATGAGTTATATGCAACTTGAAAAATAGTTCACGCAGGTCCCAAGGTGAAGAGACATGTGAGTTACATATGCTTCACGAGGCCCCAGGCTCAAAACTAGCGTGAGTTAACTCACATGGCAGTTGATGTGTTAAATGCTTTATTGCCTTCAGAATAAGTCCACATTTGCTAATATGGCTTACAAGGGCCTTCCTGGTCTGGTTCCTTCTCACCTCTCCCACTTTATCCGCTGCTGCATTCTCCTTGACAATAAATTAATGCTGCAGCCACGTTGCACTCCTGTCGGTTCCTTAACTGTGACATCTTCTCTCACACCTGAGGGCTTCCTCCAAATGCACTCTCTTCTGTCTACTGTACCTAAAATGCTGTTTTCCCTTTCCCTTCTCTAATCTAACTCCTGCTTCTCCTTCAGGTCTCAAATTCCTCTTAAGAAGTCACTTTTAAGCCACCCCACCCAGTTCAGGTCAGGTGTCTCTTTATGTTCCTCTAGCTGCACCTGGTATTTGTTCATCCTGTCAAAGAACTTCTTACTTGCTTTGTGATTGATTCTTTTTCTCTTCCTCACTGGCCTGAAAGCTTCATGAGGCCAGAGTTCAATTTCTGTTGTGTTCTGCTAACTACCCAATGCCTAGCAGAATGCCTGGCCTTTAATGCATATTCATAGATGTATTTTGAGTGAAAAATTACACAAATGGTAGATGGCTTTTATAAATGACAGTTCTGCCCCATAAATATATACAACCATTATGTACCCTATTAATAATTAAAAATTTAAAATAAAATAAATGACAATTGTGTTATCATTTTGAAGAGTGTAAAACCCCATAGCGATTGTGTGCATCTATATTCCATGCATAGGAAAGGCATTTGGATAGATAGTATTAATAGTGATTGTCTCTAGAAGAGTGGAATTATGGGTGTTCTTCATGTGCTGTTACTTCTCTGTATTTTCTGAGTTTTCAGTAATGCCCATAAGTTGCTTGTAAAGTAGAAAAAAATAAAAAGAACTCTATAATCTTTTTGGGGGGCATTTAGAGCCCTCCAATTAAATTCCCATTTTTGGACATTTATGTTCTGCTTTTCAGTCTTATCAGCAGCACAAAAAAATCTTAAAATCTGAACATTACTTAAACCTACAGAAATATAGGAAACTCGGAAAACCAGAGGAAAAAAGAGCCACAGTACTTAAAGATACATAAAATGTGGTAAATTGATATTTTGTAATACACTGAAATTACTGTTACTCAAGAGTGAGAAAACAGACTGGGGTATTTTTTTGGTCCAAACTGTCATGTAGACCAAATCACTTTGAGCCCAAAGAGCTGCTACAGGAAAAAAGCATCATGGAAGCTAAGGAAGAATGCTCACCATTATCAAGTACCATAGGAAAAGAAGCAAAAAATAAAAAGTTTAAGCTTGTTTTATTATTATTCTTCCCGTGGCAGGACCTGGTCTCAAAGATGCTTCATGTAGACCCTCATCAGAGACTGACTGCTGCTCTCGTGCTCAGACATCCTTGGATTGTCCACTGGGACCAACTGCCGCAATACCAACTAAACAGACAGGACGCACCGCATCTGGTAAAGGTGAGTGGCCCCATTCAGTCACTATTTTCTGCACATCCTCCAAGAGAGGCTCCAAGAAACCCTCTCCGTGCCCCCAGCACCTTTCCCCTTCAGCCTGCATCCAGTTCTGGTGTGGGATTCTCTTAGAGTGGGTGACTTAGAAAAAACCAAGACATGTCAAAATATCAGTAATAAAACTAGTTTAAGAGGAACTTTTGAATTTCTCTCAGTCTACATAAGTAGGTATTCACTATCAATAAGGACAGATAAGCTTATGATTTCCTAACTTAAAGAGTGTGCCTTGCTGCCTCTCGTATTAAAGAAGTGTAAGGGAAAAAAACGTTGAATAATCCTGAGAAAAGCGAGGACTGCTTCTTATGAGCCTATCCCTGACCTCTCTCATGCATAATTTCAACTTCCCATGTTGGCCTCTCCAGTTTAGTTAAATCAGAGAGTTTGACCAGTGTGGTGGTGATTTTCATTGTGAACCTAATAAAATCTATATACATTTTCATCTGGGAAAAAAACCTTCATTTCATATCTGTGTACATATTACTATCCATTGTCATTTTTGTTACCACCTTTCTTTCCTTTTTTCAGGGTGCCATGGCAGCTACATACTCTGCTTTAAACCGTAATCAGTCACCAGTTTTGGAACCAGTAGGCCGCTCTACTCTTGCTCAGCGGAGAGGTATTAAAAAAATCACCTCTACAGCCCTGTGAAGTGACCTCAGTGAGATATTTGGTACCATGGTGTAAGCTGATAGCACAAGTTCTGGTGACAGGTAGCACATATCTGAGAGACACCTGCAAGCACACACTGTCCCAGCTGGTACCCATAATGCTGCTGCTCCTGCTGCTGCTCCTGCTTTCGTCTCTTCTCGCTTTAAATGATTGTTAGCAAGTTAGATTTTCCTGGAGCTTCGGATGAAATGAAAATGGAAACATGATGAAGATATATTCACTGAATCAACAAGAAAAATAATGAACATATGAATACCACCTAAAAATACACTGAATAAAGTACTCTACACCATATAGCATTATTTTTATAGGAAATATTTCATGTCCCTTAAATATTCTTTGTTAGTTATAGGGATGGACAGTTTATGTTAAGCACTTAGCTTAAACAATCCGTTTATATTAGCACTGTATCCCTTGTGCCATCCAACATTTTGTATGTTTTTGTAAACAGTTCATATACAGTACATTTCTGTACTGCTTTCTTTAATGTATACATGCCTTGTTTAACTTGGAATCTATTATTATTAATCAATTGACTATTAAATCTGGTTAAATAGTTCACCTGGATTAACAGTATTGTTGGACAGCCCTAAAAATGACCAGATTGTGGAACAGCTGTTGAATGTAATTCTTTCAAAATGTACATATCTTTCCCCATGTCTGTTTCGCTGGTTCGTTCATTTGTTTCTTAAAGTCAGGTGCTCTGTCAGACTAACCTAGAGAGCTCTTATGATAAAGAAAGTGATACGTGTGTGGCGTGAAATCAAGAATACACCTACGAAGTTACTCCATATACTTTGCAACTCCTTAGGGTTCTTTTTTCCTGAATTAAGGAAGTAGTAGTCCTTGCACTTTCAATCTTACATCCATACTTAGTATTTGGCATATCATTTGTGATTTTGCTAATATACATCAAAGGCCTTTAAGAGTCATGGTAAAGAGATTGGTGAAGGAAAACTTAGCAACAGGTAGTTGAAGTCCTATTGGATATTTCATGTTTAAATAGATATTCTATATTAAACACTAATTTGAATGTAATAAAGGCCACAGGCCTCTATATGAAATTGGATTTAAAAGTTCTTATTCTAGGGAATAAAACATTCTTGCTCAAACAATATCTGTTCTAACCTGAAATCATAGCTAAGGTAGGCTAAGTGAACATTTAGCATTGAGTGTTTTCTGAATCCCTCATGATTTATAGCCATACAGTACTTCCTTTGACTTCAGAAATGATCAGTTTTCATAATGGCCACTGGGTCTGCTTAGATTGCAGTATTCATTATCTACATCTAATTTGGTAGTTTCCCCAATTTTATTTGATGAAAGAAACTTCTGTACCCATTATTATCTATATCTTTGCCAAGCTATCTAGCATACGTCAATATGTAATATAAAAGACATGTGAGCAAGGAAAAAGTGATTTAACTTACCTCATCAAGAATGTGCCCAAACACATCTTTGTTAGTCATGTACTAAGCCATTTATATCAGAAATCTTTTTTCCTGCCAGAAAAATTTTCCCCTATGAGTATGAAGCCAAGAAAGTGTGATTTATCTAAATGTCTTGAAAGCCACATGTCATTCCTTAATTTCTGCTCTATGCAATTAAAGAGAAAGGGGAAATCTATAACATTCCTTTTGCCCAAGTGACACAAAATGTTTATTGCATAGAAATCAAACGTAAGTTTATCTTCTAAATGAAAAATATATAGAAGGGATATCAGAAGATCTAGATAGAGAAAGTTTTTTAAAGTTCTTGAGTATATAGATACTACTAAAAGTTGCTTTCCGTTGCCTGGAAAGAAAGCTTTTTTTTCCTCCTCTTTTCAGTGTTTCAAAGCATGGGCATCCCCAATTCTTGTCACTTTTAAAATGTAATGTAACTCTGAGCAGAAAAAAAGAATTATTTTCAGATTTTTGACACTTATGCTACTCCATATTGCATAAGTGTATTGTCCATCATAGTCTTTGGAACTAGAAGTAAACATATAAATCCTTATAAATTACCTGGTCCAACTTTCTCATATTGCATGTAAAGAACTCAAGACCCAAATCAAACTCTAGAATCCTTAACTTCTCCTCATTTAGGTTTTTTTTTTTTCCTCATAACACCGTGCTGCCTTTCCTTCATATTATCACCTGAGCAGTAGCTTAGTTCAAAAACTACATATTTCTTAGGGCAGTCCTCTACTGGCATATAATGCCAAGTTTCTTTCTTTCAAACATAATTGCCTTCTTTGCCTAGTCACGCTGCCAGTTTTGTTGGAGAAGAGCAAGTTATATATTCACAAAACCGAAGGCATGCTACCTAAAAAGCAGTTTATGATCGTAATTTCATCTGTAATCCTAGTGTTCTCATTGCTTTCAACATACAGTGGACAAGCTTGGCCAACAACGTGCTCTAAATGTAGTGCTTGTGCTGGATTAACCTCTCAAAGTCCAGTTCTTCAGGCCTCTACAACTGTGGTGTTGAGACCTCTGAGGGCTTCTGCCTTTCACCAGTTAGTGCTGCCAGTTACTGGGGCTTCTCCTAAGTAAGAGGTGTCAATCCAGTCTTAAAGATATTTCACTGTGAAAGAAGGAACTAAACTATCAGGCCTCCTCTTAGTTTATAATCCAAAATAATATCCAAAATGATATATTGAATTTAACATTGCCAAGCACATACTGGAAAGTATGAATTACACTACCACGTGTTTTATATCTTCCCGTTCGAGTGACAATGTTAAGGTAAGTTTTTTGCCCTTTTTTATTTTTGTTTTTTATAAATCATTTCAGCTCCTCTGGTTTATAGAGATGTCTTCTAAGTACAGTAGACCCTTGACTTTAGTAGATTTGATATGGATGCATTTATTCACAAGCAACCCCAAAAGTTGAAAAATGTAATAATTTTGACAAGGCACAAAGTCAAGATGCTGTGAGGCTGGTGTGTGGGAAAAGTCACTTGTGAGTGTCTGGAGAGAGAGTGGTGTGTGTGCGTGGTAGAGTTTCCATATTTCACATGCAGTGCGCTCCAAAGAGCGGGTTTGGGTCAATCATTTCCCATCTAGTTTTAAGAAATGGCTGCTATTGGGGCCAGGGGACATCATGGAAGGTGGGGTGTCCAGTTAGCTGTGGCCTGCACCCTCAGCCCAGGAAAGATTTGAACAGAGTAGGTGGGTGCAAAGGCTTCAGGAGAAGGCAGAATGTGTTTGATAGGAAAAGGACTGGGGTAGGCCCAGCCTGGGATGAGAGTTAGCACAAAAGCATTCAAGATTTGGGGGACTCGGAACAGATGTGCTTAATCACCACGGAGGCCAGTAATAGACATCTCAACATGGCTTTGATGATCTCTACTTCCTGGCCTTTATAAATGACCTAAAATTTTTCAACTTGCTTTACTGTATTTTATAGAGAAAATTCTACCTTATGATGGTATTGAACATTTGAGACTTAGGGCATTAGGACAGATAGATCAGGGATGTAAAGGTTCAGAAAGAGTCTATTTTCTCTGATTAACAAATACTATGGATTCCATGGCTGACCTCGGTGCTTAAACCAGGAGGTTCCAATCTAGTCCTAGAGCTCTGTCCCTCTGAAAGGCCCAACTCCATGTGACTAACTTTAAACTGGATATATACTTTGAGCCTTATTTAATTCACAGATAAGTTGACTTAACTTAGTATTTTTATGTCAGTTAATGAAAATAGTCCTCTTTTCAACCCCAGGTTGCTTACATTTTGCTGGTCTCCCCAAGTGACCATTGGTGGAGACCAATTAATGAAGGAATGAAATTCACTTTCTTGGGACTGTGGTATTCTACAGAGCCACACTTAACCACTTTTTCCAATGAAGAATCTACAGAATGATAATACCCAAATATGGATGGCCAAGAAGAATTTGTATCTACAGTGTGCTTTATGTATTTTTGACACTGCTGTATTCTGTGTGATCAAATGACTTGTAACTGGTTCCAATGTGACTGAGTGTTCTCAAAGAATTCTAGTAACTAAGTCAACTTAATTTTCTTAAGCCTGGTATTACTATCAGTCTCACATTTACCACTTTGATTCCAGTCTTTTAACTGTTCATAACAGGGCATACCAAGGGTTGGGATGAGAGCCTACTTCCTACCTCTTAAGGCACTTTCCTCATTATTTTGCCATATAACCTTGAACTGCATGATAAGCTGTTTAAATGTCCGTGACTTCTCCCAGAGCAACTAGCAAAGTATATGACATTTTGAATAGAGATTAGTGGAAAGGAAAATTTAGAGATTTAAGTTCAGAGGTGCAGACCTCAAGAAAACCTCTGTAGAGCACATACCATGAATACAGTATATGTAAACGTATATGAGAAGAGAGTCGCTATAATAGTCCTCTCTAAGTAGATTAGTTCAATATCTAATGGAAGTGAACATCTTTACTCCTATTATCACTATAGTACTGAATGAACTGTATACTGAGTTTTTAAAACAAGTATTTGAAATAGAACTTTTAAATACAAAGCAAGGGCATAAGGATAAGGATTTTGGTTTGTGTTTCTGTAAGTGTAGTTTACCATCTAAAGCTTTGTTTTTTAATTTAAAAAAAAAAGCTTCAAGGTATTGCCATTCCTTAGCATTCTTAATGATTATGGGTGATGAGTTTTTAACTCTTAAAATTATATACATGTATTAGTTTATCTTAACTGTTGCCCTAAACAAAAGGGAAAGTATACACCTAAGGGATGTAATTATTTTACATTTTTGGCCATGGGTGGGAATGGGGTGGGTATCTACAAACAGTTTTTAAAAAAGAAAAAAATCACAAATATTTTTCTACTGTTATATATGATCTTACTTTATACTAGTTTCTCTCTAGTAAGGCATGCCAGAAGCCCAAGGTACCATATCATGAGTTCTTACGTATTGTACCTTTTATTGGTGGTTAAATCACATCAGATGCTTGGCACTGCTGCCATAATTATGAAATGCTTGTAAAGGATCAAATATCACTGAATACTTTAAATCGTTTTAATTAAGAGTCTAATCTGGGAAGTTTTCGAATCATGCTATTAATGTATAATCTAAGCTCTTTCAGATGTATCCATGAATAATCCTGGAACAATATTGCTTGTATTCCTGTCATAGAACAGGTTTTGTAATCTTTAAAAGAAATGAAAATTTATATAATAAAGTTTCAAATAAATGCATGTATGTCCCTTTTATCAGAATATTTGAATTATATAATTAATCTTTTATAATATTCTATCCAAAGTATATTTATGAAATTTGATTGATAGAACTTTAAAAAAACAGAAATTTATTTTTTTTTTGAGACAGGGTCTAGCTCTGTTATCTGGGCTATAGTGCAGTGATGTCATGATAGCTCACTGCAACCTCAAACCCCTGGGCTGAAGCAATCCTCCCACATCAACCTCCCAAGTAGATGGGACCACAGGCACGCATCACCATGCCTGGCTAAGTTTTCCATTTTTTGGTACAGGTGGGGTCTCACTATGTTGCTCAGGCTGGTCTCGAACTCCTGGTCTCAAGTGATTCTCCTACCTCGATCTCCCAATGTGCTAGGATTACAGGCGTGAGCCACTGCACACAGCCCAGAAATGTTTCTGAGTTAAGAACTGCAAAATAATTTTTCTATGCATAGTCTTGTTTCACTCAAAGGATTTGTCAAGTCACATAAATCATAGATCTTATCCAGTACCAAACTTGATAATGAACTCTGAATCACAAGGCACAGTTGAAACATTCTTTTCTTAGGGAAGTCCAAAACTATCAAACTTAGCTCCAAAATTGTCCTTTTTCACCTCACACCTAATAACAGTCATTCTCTATTCTCCCAGTCCTCCCCCCAGCCCCGGGCAACTGCTAGCCTATTTTATGTTTTTATAGATTTGTCTATTCTGGACATTCCATATAAATGAAATCATACCAAAAAAAATGGTCCTTTTTCTTCCTCATTATGGTGCGTTTGGATTCAAAATTAAAGGACAAGTTTCCTTCTGAGCCCTATATGTGGAGACTGTTCAAACAGAGTTATTTGGTTTTGAAACATCTTTTTATACTTAATTATGCAATTTAAATGACATTTCGAGCCAGACACGTCTCATAAATCCACAAATTCCATATTTTACAATAAACCGTTTGTAAAGACCACATATATCTTGCTAAAAGCATCTTAGAAATAATGACTTCTCATTTTCCTTCTGCTAGTATCATTAGCACATTTGAGAAGAAATTTGATTGAAGTCACTGGTTCCTAATAGAGAGGGGATGAGTTCCATAGGCCTGAAGTTAGCCCTTTCTTTATCAGTTTTATATTATGAAATACCATGGACCAGGTGGCTTAAACAACAGAAATTTATATTTTCTCACAGTTCTGGAGACTAGAAGTCCAAGATCAAGGTAACTACAGGGTTGGGTTCTTCTGAGACCTTTCTCTTTGGCTTACAGTTGGCTGCCCTCTTGCTGCCTCTTCCTATGGTTGGTCCTCTGCATGTGCACCCATGGTGTTCCTCTTGTTATAAGGACACCAGTCATTGCATTAGAGCCTCACTCTAATGGCCTCATTTTAATTCAGTCATCTCTTCGAAGACCTTATCTCCAAATACTGTTACATTCTGAGGTACAGGGGATTCAGACTTCAACATATGGATTTGGGGAGGACACAATTCAGCCCATACTGGCTGGTTTAGGGACTATCCACTTGTATTAATTTGGGTATACAAGATAAGATGGTGAGCTTCAAGGTCTACTTTGCATTCTACTGGGGCAATGTAGAAATGTTGACTGTATTTTTGTACCATTTTTGTAACAAGTTACCACAGTTTAGTGGCTTAAAACAATACAAATTTATTTTCTTACAATTCTGGAGATCAAAAGTCCAATACAGGTCTTGACTAAAATCAAGATGTTAGCAGGGCTGCATTTCTTTTTGAAGGTTCTAGGGGAGAATTATTTCCTTTTTTTTTTCAGTTTCTAAAGGCCGCCCCCGTCTTCACAACTAGCAACAGTAGATTGAGTCCTCTTCAAATATATCTCTCTCCCCTTTGCCTCTTCTTCCACTTTTAAGGACTGTGTGATTAGATTTTGCCCACCCAGGTAATCTAGGATAATCTCCCCATCTCAAGGCCAACTGATAGCAACATTAATTGCATCTGCAACCTAAATTCCCTTTTGCCACATGAGATAACATATTCACAGATTCCCGGGATTTGGACCTGGACATCTTTGGGGTTCATTAGTCTGCCTACCATGATTATCTAGAGAAAAACCTGCTCCTCAGGCTGACACAGAGCAGCAATATTTGCCATGGTCACGCCTACTGCAGCTCTGTGTTAATGCACCCTGAATTGATAGAATTCACTCACACACACACACACACACACACACACACACACACACACACACACACAGAAAAGCCAGGTAAAGGAAGTGCAGGATGCTGTAGGAAAATATAGCAGGGTTTCCTAGGGATCAGGGCAGACCTTGTAAGGAAAGAATGATTTAAGATGAGACCTACAAAGGCAAGGGGGAAGGGTAGAATAAAATGGACAGAGATTCAGACAGAGTTAGAGGCATTCAAGAAAATTAAAACTTTTGTATGATTGGAGCTTAAAATGTAAGAAAAGATGCAAGACAGGAGGCTCGAACCCCATGGTTGATCATCTGAACTTCTCTCTCAAAAACACCCTGAACTTCCTTATATTTTTGCCTTTATACTGCACCCACTGAGCAAACTTCAATCCTGGATCATTTTCGTTAATTCTGTATGTATGGTTCTGAATATGTTGAAAGAAACCATATAATTATGCAAATCGATACCACTGCAAGCTTATGTTTTCTAAGCTCAGCTAAACCTTCACCACCATTTGTCAATTCTTTTATTTTTTTCTTTTTTTTTTTTCTTTTATTTTTTTCTTGGTCAGGTCCATTCTCCCATTTCTTTTTTTTTTAACAGCTTTATTGAGATATAATTTATATGCCACAAAGTTCACCCATTTAAAGTGTACTTTTTAATGTTTTTTAGTGTAGTATTTACAGAGTTGTGCAACCATTATCATAATCTGATTTTAGAACATTCTCACCACCCCAAAAGAAACCTTGTACCCTAGTCCAAGCCACCATTGTCTTTTGTTTGGACTATTACAGTAGCCTCCTGCATGGTCTCTGTTTTTACCCTTTTTACCCTACAGTCTATTCTTAACATAGAAGCCAAAATGATCTGTTTAAAACCTAAAGATTACAAGTGATCTGGTCTCCCTACCTCTCTGATCTCATCTCCCCACACTCTTCCACTGGCTTGATGCATTCTGGCCACACTGGCCTATTTGCTATTCTTGAATATGGCAAGCATGCTCCCACTCAGGGCCTTTGCCCTTGCTATTCTCTCTGCTTCATACACATTTCCTCCAGATGTCCACGTGACTCACCTCCTTCCAAGAGATTCTCATGATCAGTCAGATGTCGAACCATCCCGTAGTAGAGAAATGAAGCCTGATTTTTTTTTCTCTGTTGAAGTTTTGTACTAAGTAATTGACAGAGACTTTGGATTTTTAAACATTTGGACTTCCAAACACTTGGAGTCTCACTGATTGCTTATCATGTACTAGGCACAATCACCAAACACTGAATGCGTTATATCAATTTAATTCCTGCAATAACCTAATGTGGTAAGTACTATTTCTAGATCCAATTTACAGATGAGAAAAATGAGACTTATAAAAAGATTAAATAACGTGTCCAAGATCATAGAATAATAAATTACTATAGAGCCTGGATTTGAACCAAGGTCTCTCTAACTCCAAAGCCCAAGTTCATAATCATTTGGCCTTGAAGCAAAATTTAAATAAATTTCATAAAGACCTCCTTTCATCCTCAGTTGTGTAAACTGCAAAATATTGCAAATGGAAAGAGAAACCCTGAACTTTGAGTCCTTCATCATCTTTCAGTTTCCCTCTGAAAAGTTGCATCTGTCATTGGGTTTGTCAGTCTCAGCTCTGTTGACGTTTTGGGATAGATAATCCTTAGCTTGCTGGGGAAGGGGGTGAAGGGGGGTTGCACTGTGCACTGTAGCATGTATAGCAGCATCCCTGGCTTCTGCTCACTAGATGCAAGCATCACGGCCCCCCTCCTCCAGGTTGTGACAACCCGAAATGCCTCCAGACACTGCGAAATGTTCCCAATAGAGAACCACTGCGTTAGATGATTATATTTTATTTCTCTATCATCTAAGTATGTCCATTTCCCTAGAGAGATGATGTTAAAACCCTGATGTTTGCAGAAAGGTGATTTAATTAAAATAAGTTTACTTTAGAAATAAAGCTTTGCCCAGCATAGACAGCTGTATTGGTTTGCTAAGGCTGCCATAACAAAGCACCACAAACTGAGTGGCTTAAACAACATACATTTATTTTCTCACTGTTCTAGAGGCTAGAAGTCTGGGATAAGGTGTCATCAGGGTTGATTTCTTCTGAGGCCTCTCTCCTTGGCTTATAGATGGCCACCTTCTTGTTCACATGGTGTTCTCCCTCTATGCCTATGTCCTAATCTTATAAGGACACCAGTCATACTGGATTAGGACCCACCCTAATGCCCTCATTTCAACTTAATCACCTCTTTAAAGGCCCCATCTCCAAATACAGTCACATTCTGAGGTACTAGGGGGTTAGAACTTCAACATGTGAATTTTAGGGGGACACAATTCAGCCCATTAACACTGAGCTCGAGTCTTCTCCCCTCCCTTCCTTCCTTTCTTCCTGTGTGTATTGAGCACCTACTATGTGCCAGACATTCTTCTAAGTGTGGGTAAATGGTAAGCAAAAAACGTCTCTGCCTAGTAAGGTTTACAGTGAGGTAGGGACGACAGATATTTAGAAAGTAATAACAAGTGTCATGCAAATATTATGCTTCGGAAATGGTTGACAGGAAGGCTCCCAAACTGGCTGGGCGGGTGAAAGGGCCACGTTAAAACTGAGCCAACTGTGAGGTTAATGAGTCAGTAACTTGTCAAACCGGGAGACACGGGTTTGTTACAAAGCAGCAGACGTCAGCGGAGAGCCAGCAGCAGGCGCTACCTCAAACCACCCTTTACCATGACGCAGGGCCCCGCCCATTCCCTCCCTGACTCCGCCCCTCCCCCCGCCCCCTATGTGCTCTCCAGCTTGCCGCCAATCCTCCCAGAACGCGTCACTCTCGGCTCTAACAATGGGGGGCGGGGGGAGCGGGGGTCTGTCGGTCACGCCTGCGCCGTAGAGCTTGGGAGGGGGCGGGCCCAGCCGGCGGCGGGAGGCGTGTAACAGTGACGCAAGCAGCCGCGACGCCATTTGCTGCCGCCGAGCGTGGACGCAGGGAAGTCTCGGAAGAACTCGGTCGCGAGACTCTCCCGCGCACGCTAGCCAGCCACCAGTACCTGTTTAGTCCCGCGCGCTCCCTCGTGTCACCCCTCGGAGGAGTCGCCGCCGCCGTCGCCACCGCCACCGCCCCCCGGAAAGAAATCAGAGGCTCCGCGAGGCCGCCGTTTCCGCCATGCCCAAGAATAAAGGTAATGCCGCCCGGACCCCGGGACCACGGCTCCGTTCAGCCGGGTTTCCCTGGCCCTGCCCGGGGCCTCCGGGTCGCCCCGGCCGCAGTGACCTTTTTTCCTTCCTGCTCTTCCTGCTCGCTGCTGGGCCCCCCGCACGCAATTCTGAGCCCGGGAGAGGAGCTGGGAAGTTAACTCCTGTTTCCCAGTTTGGTCACATTGGGGTGGAGCCGACGCCATTTTTGTAGGGCCTCCTGCGGGAGAATGTGGGCTTTTGCTCCTGATTCGCGCCAGACTGACCGCGGCTCGGTGGAGAGGTGGGGAGACCTTCCTCGGGGCGGCCCGGGCTTCGTAGATAGGCCCCTTTGCCCTTTCCTGGGCATGAGGAGTTAAACTTTGAAGGCAATGCTGAACTTTAAAAGGGTGATGCCTGCTTTCGTGACCACCAGGTACTCCTGCATAGGTGTCTTTATGGACCCTAAAGTATTGTTGGGACTACTCGCTGTCCTTTGTAAACAGTGGGCAAAACCTTGATGGATTTTTAAGGCTCACTTCTAGAAATTGACTCTTCTCCATCCCGTCTCAGGGTTTAGCTTATTTGTTTTTCTAGAAGACTTGTTCCATATTTAGCCAAGTTTTCTACTTTTACTTCAGATCATGCCTATATTGTGATGGGAATAAAGTTTCCTCCGTTCTGAGGCTAAACATTCACAAATTATCAGACTTGAGGAGAAGTTTATTTGGAATTTCCAAAATGGAAAAGGCAATATACTCCTAAAGAAACTCTCCTTTTGACAGATTTACAGTTTGTCACTTTTGATGTCCTTATAATTTCTCGAAGAAATTCTGCAAGTAGAAATAAGGAGAACATTGTATTTCCTACAGGAGAGGAGCGTATTTCACAGCGCACAAGAAGTCTCCTTTGATTATTCATCCTGAGGACCTTCTCCCCTGACCCTGGCCCACTTGTGTTCTCTTTTCTTAACAGCTGGCTCCAGGGATTCTATCACCTTTCCTCTTTGTAGCTGTCACCACCCACTTTATCCCTCGGGGTACTTGGTCAAAGTTATGTGCACAATTTGGTACACTCCTCTCAGGGCACTCCACTTGGCTACCCTCAGAAATCAAGCTTGCAGGTCCTTTTAGTAGCAAGGATTCTTACCCTTAGATAGGATGATAAAGGATTTTAAAAGTCTTACAGTTTTTTTCTAATCTGTATAATTCTTTATTCCCTCTGAGATAGTAACTGGATCACTTCAGTATTCTCACCTTTATTTCTAGTAATGATATTTGCAGTTCCTTCACTAGGCTGTAAACTCTAAAGGACAGGAATAGTATCTGTCCTAATCAAATTGGATTGCTACCACTTGACACTTAGTAGATGCTCAATAAATATTTGTTGTATTAAATCACCTCCCTTCTGTTGACGCCACCCTTAGGTGAATAATAGGTTTCCCTTTGGTTTCAAGGGGACAAGACTTCTACACTAAATCACATCTGTCTAGTTCACTAGCTTCGTGTCTTGCTTAAGAAAGGTCCCCTGTGGGAATTTCTCCAAAACACTTCTGATTGGTTTAAAGAAGGAATTTGAGAATTTTGATTTAGTTTAGAGGCTACCTGTTCTTTTAGAAAGAAAGCACGGTAAAAAGTTAGAATGTTTATCTTTAATTGTACACTCAGACCTGGTCTCATTCATTCAAAAGAGAATTTAAAGAGCATTCCCTTACATGACACTAAAATAGAGAGGGGAAAGATCATGGTATGGCTAATTCTGGTATGTTGACAAGTAATGAATCATTTTTTTTTTAATAAGTAGCATTTGGGGCATACAAAAAATATAGATGATATAATGGGCACCTGGAAATGCTTTACTCTGTTTAAGAATTAACCACACAGATTGAAGTAAAGCCCTCTGTGTACCCCTTCCCAATCCCCTTTTGCTCTCTTCCTGAACGTAACCAACCACTGTGCTGAGTTTGGTGTTTATCATTCCTGTACATGTAAAACAAATTGATTGCTCTTAGTTATCTGTTATTTTACTTAGAGGAAGAATATTTTTCAAGACTCCTGAATCTTATGAGATGGGGTTTAATAATGTAGAAATAAACTCATGTTTATTTTTCTGGGGTTTTCTACCCCATTGAAAAATCCAGAAGCTCTGTAAATATAGTCTTGTGATGGTTACACAAATAAGGATAAAAATTGCCACAAACTATGTTGACTTTTGCTTTGGACTGATTCTTAACAGCTTGTGTCCTCTAAGTTATTAGAAACTCATCCTCAAATCAGGAAAAAAGGCGCCTTGTCACTCATTCATGAAGAGCATTTGGAGTAAAGTGTTCCCACACTTTGAAGAGGTTGCTACCTATGATTTTAAAATCACCACTCCTTTAGGAATGTATGGACTACTCTTGACTGATTAATTGGAAGAATTGCCAAGCTCAGGTATATAACTCAGTAAACAGAGCAGGTATAATCCTTGCCCTAATGGAGCTTGCACTCTGTTTTGCAGATCTGGCATGATTAATAGCTTGAAATACTTTTCTCTTTCTAGGAAATTAGTTTCAGTGTGCCCTAAGAAATGCCTCAAATACTGAACTGTAAGGACTCTAGGTGGGTCAGGACATTGTAGAGACCCACCTAACAATAGCACAAAGCAGTCGGAGACTGCCCCAGGAGAGTGTAAGTCAGTTGATTCAAGAAGTTTCATGTCTGTCTTTGCATTGGCCAGGTGCACATTCTTGATTGTGTTTGGGCTGTGAACTTTTTCCTGCTCCCAAGCTCTTCCCATGAGTCCCTTAGTAACACTACCACTGATAGCCTTTCTCCCACCTTTTAGAAATGGCTGACAATGTGGTTTATGCTCCGGAATGGGAACAAGATGCTATGGAGATGTAGCCTAATGTCAGGGCTAGGATTAGGTGTGAATCTGTTTGCTCTGATCACTGACTCTGAAATAGTGAGTTACTTCTCTGAGCTTCAGCAAACTCATTGGTAAACTGGGAGTAAATGACTATTATTACCTCATTGGGTTATTGTGACAAGTACATGCATGACATTATTACATAGTAGTTAAGAGCATGGTCACTGGGGTCATATAGAAACAAGGGTGTTAGGGACCAGCTTCGTATAATAAAAGAAAGCAAATTGAGTTTTAAATAGAATTGAGCTTGAGATGACAGGCAGTAGCCCCTTCACTGGAGATGTACTGAGCCGTTAGATATAAAAGACCAATGCTAAGTTGAAATAGTGGCACTGAGATGTAAAATTACTAGCATAGAAGTGATAGGTGAGAGAAAAATAAATCTCCTTAGAAAGTAAGTGCACAGAAGGTGGGAAGTATGAAGAACAAGGATGGGAAGGGGGAGAATTATGGATTTTTAGGGATACCAGTGAGATAGAATTCTAGACTCCTAAATGGTAGAAAGAGTATAGAGGTAATTGAATCTTCTTCCTTTTCATGCATGTACGTAGCCTTTACGGATTGGCTTCTTTCACTTATCAATATACATTTAAGGTTCCTCCATGTCTTTTCAGTGTTTGATAGTTCTAGGCTAGGCCTGCTTCATTGTACCTGTAATAAGAACAGTGACCTTCTTACTAGTTTCCCACTCGGAGGTTCATGTCACATCTCTGCCTTTTATTAAAGGAATTTTTATTTAAAATTTTTGAGTAGTAAATGTATTCACATGATTCAAATTTTAAAGAGTATAAAAAGTGAAATCTCTTTCCTAAATACGTCCCATTGCCACCTAGTTCTTCTCAGAGGCAGTCATTGCTGACTTTTTTGTATATGTCCTTCCAGAGATAATTTGTGTATATATAAACAAATATGAAGATACTTCCTTTTTACGTAGTTTTATACTCTTCTTCTCTTGCTTTTTTTTTTTTTTTGAGACAGAGTCTCACTCTTTTGCCCGGGCTAGAGTGAGTGCCGTGGTGTCAGCCTAGCTCACAGCAACCTCACACTCCTGGGCTCAAGCGATCCTTCTGCCTCAGCCTCCCGAGTAGCTGGGACTACAGGCATGCGCCACCATGCCCGGCTAATTTTTTCTATATATTTTTAGTTGTCCGATTAATTTCTTTCTATTTTTAGTAGAGACGGGGTCTTGCTCAGGCTGGTTTCGAACTCCTGAGCTCAAACAATCCGCCCGCCTCGGCCTCCCAGAGTGCTAGGATTACAGCCGTGAGCCACTGCGCCCAGCCATTCTCTGGCTTTTTTATTTTAAAACTTACATTATGAAGAATTTTGAATATATACAAAAGTAGATCAGTGTAATGAACCTCTGTGTACCCATCTCCTAGCCCTTAATTTATGGCTAATCTTGCACCATCCTCACCAAATCAGGATCCAGAGTTAGTCTGTGTTGCAATTGACTGATAGATCTTTTCAGTCTCTTTAATCTTTAGGCTCCTCTTCTGTCTCGTTTTTAAAATTTTCTTCATAATGTATCTGTTGAAGAAACCTGATTGTCTTCTAGAATTGCTACAGAATTGTAGGATTGGATTTTGCTGATTGCATCCCTATGCACCTTGCTTTTTAATAGGCTTTACTTTTTAGAGCAGTTTCTGGTTTATAGAAAAATGAGCAGAGAGTTCCCATATACCCTCTTCTCTTTCCTCCTACCCGCAGTTTTCCTCATTATTAACATCTTGCATTGGCGTGGTACATTTGTTAACAATTGATGAGCCAACATAGATACATTGTTATTAGCCAAAGTCTATAGTTTGCATTAGGGTTAGCTCTTTATGTTGTACATTGTATAGGTTTTGATACACATATAGTGATATGTATCCACCATTACAGTATCATACAGAATAGTTTCATTGCCCTGAAGATCCCCTGTGCTTCAAATACTCATTGCCTCCTCCCCAGTTGCTGGCAACCATTGATTTTTTTTTTCCTGTCTCCATAGTTTTACCTTTTCTAGAATGTCATATGTAGTTGGAATCATACTATATATGTAGCCTTTACAGGTTGGCTTCTTTTACTTATCAATATGCATTTAAGGTTCCTCCGTGTCTTTTCAGTGTTTGATAGCTCATTTCTTTTTATCACGGAATAACATGCCATTGTATAGATGTACCAAAGTTTATCCATCCATTTGCCTGGAGGACATCTTCGATGTTCCCAAGTTCAGGCGATTATTAGCACCTTTTTAACTTTGAATGTCTTGCTTAATGTATGTTACAACTTACAGGATAAAATTGAAATTCTTGGGGTTGCCAGAGTTGCTCCCCCTCCCCCCACAATATCAGTGTGTTCCATTCCAGTAGCTATAACTTTGCCTCCCCCCCCCCCCCCCCCCCCGCCCCCAGTCATTTCCTACTCATACTCCTTTCATGAGTTGTCAGGTATGAGAGGGACAGGGCATTTTTATAAAATTTATCAGGACCCAATGTAGTTTAGGTTCTGGAATGGGAACAAAATGCTATGGAGGTACCCTAATGTGGGGGCTGCAAGCGAAAAGAGAGTAGGTGTGAATCTGGTCACCCTGATTCAATGACCATAATTTTAAGTGAGTTCTCTGAGCTTCAGTGGACTAATCAGTAAACTGTGCGTAGATGACTGTTGTTACCTCATGGGGTGATTGTGACAAGTAAATGGGTGGCGCTATAGCATGACCACTGGGGTTGTACAACAAACAAGGTGTTGAGTAAGGACCAGCTTTGTACAAGAAAGTAAATTGAGTTTTGAATGGAGATTTCAATATTTATCGCGATCTGCTGCCAAAAGGTTGAAAACCACAGTTCTCTGTCTAGACACTCTCCTCCCTTCATTTTAAAAATATCAGGTTCCTTGCATAGGACCTGGCTTCAGAAGGCATCATAAGATTTCAGCTTAGAAGACTATGTATGGAATTGCATTTTTATTTGGAAAGGATGGATGCTAAAGTGAAATGTTTTTCTAAATACTTGTATTAATATATAATATCTGCTATTTGTTTGTATTTTATAGCAGAAAAATCCCAAAAGGAAATTCCAAGAAGGGTAGGGGGATAATAATATGTTAATGTTGCGATCAGAGATTGCAAGTTTAACATGAGTAATTTAGTTTCTTTTCATACTGTTTGGCAGATGATTAATGTTGTTTCTTTTCTTTTTTTAAAACCATTAGGTAAAGGAGGTAAAAATAGACGTAGGGGTAAGAATGAGAATGAATCTGAGAAAAGAGAGCTGGTGTTCAAAGAAGATGGACAAGGTAAGTGTTTTCATAAGTTAGGCTTTTGTAAGTAACATCTTTTCTTTCTTAAATATGGAATTTCAGGCTCTAAATTTAATAAGGATCCTATTCATAATCCTGAGGAGTAAAACTGATGACCCTTTTGCTCTTCTCCATTTCTCATCCCCCATACTTCTCCAGAGCTTTTCGGTAATCGTTTCCTGGTCTACTCAGTATGCCTTTCTGTAAACATACAGGTGTCCCTGTTTTGTATGAGTCCTCATAACTAAGAATGAGTTATTGTACAGTTCAGAGGGATTTAAGCCTCAAAAGCCATGGTTGATAATTCTGTGACTTGGTGGGTCATTTTTGATAGTGTGTTCAGTAGACCATGGATGTTTGAAGGATGTATCCGAGGCCGACATAGGCCTCTTCATTCTCCAGTGCCATTAGCATATGATTTCATAAACTGAAATAACATGAAACTGAACAATTGATCGATTTTTTTAGACTGATTAAGATTTTAAGTGCCAGATAATACTAGAAAAATAAATTCTGACTGGATCACTTGCTTTTTCTCCCCCTAGTTTTATTTTGAGTAATTGCAAACATACGGAAAAGTTGCAATATTAGTACAATGAATTCCGTTAAACCCCTTGTCTGTATATATGCGCACACACACACACACAGAAACAGATTTGTGGGGGGTTTGGGGACTATTTGAAATTTAATTAAAGACATCATGCTGCTTTTGCCTTACTATTTTATCATGTGTCTCCTGTGAGCAAGTATGTTTTCTTACATGACTATAATAGGATTACCACACTCAGGTAATTTAACATGAATGTTATATGGTATATAGTTTGTATTCAGATTTCCCCACTTGTCACAATAATTTCTAGCACTTTTGTTTTTGAGACAGTCTCGCTCTGTTGCCCAGGCTAGAGTGCATTGGCCATTAGAGTGCTCTGCCATTAAGTAGTTTGGTGCTTATCACCGCCTTGTATTTATTTATACTTTCACTGCATATATTTATTCCAAACCAATACAACTGTATGTTTTTACTTCTCAATTTTGCGTAGACTTTTAAGTTGCTTATACCAAAAGTTGAACCTTTTCATACCCTTTTCTTTTTTCCTCCCTAGAGTACGCTCAGGTTATCAAAATGTTAGGAAATGGAAGGTTAGAGGCGATGTGTTTTGATGGTGTAAAGAGGTTATGTCACATCAGAGGGAAATTGAGAAAAAAGGTAGGTATGGAGATTTATTTTACTTTAATATAAACTTGATTAAGATGGGAAAATGCCTCTACAGTTTTTATTGACCAAGGACTTCATTTTTAGAAATTCCGAAAAGATCTACCTCGGTAAAGAATGATTTACCTATAAGTCAAATAGCAAGGATTCTTAGTGGTGATTTAATACAGATTCTATTGCTTAAAGAATCATTGTATCACCTATGTTGTATTCCTATGCAAAATATTTAACCTGAATCTGAGTCCTAAGGAAACAATCAACGAATCCAAGTTGAAGGACATTCTGTAAAACAAATGGCCTGGTTCTTAATGAGATGTTAGTGTCATGAAGATAAAAAAGACTGGGGAACTATTCCAGTTTCAAGGACACTTGAAGAGACCTATGCCATGTGGAATGTGGTCCTTGTTTGGATTCTGGTTTAGGGGTTTGGGGAATAACTATAAAGGTGTATTAAGAAAATCTGAATATGTGTTATGTTAAATAAGCATTGTATTCATGTTGCATTTTCTGAATATAATCATGAATGGACTGCCTTGAAAAGTAATGATTAATACAGCATTATAGTGAGTGTTCAGGCAGATTTATTAATCAGGGTGGTTAAAAGTCTCAACTCTGATTTGTGGGTTTTTGTTTGTTTGTTTTGATATATTAATCCTTCCATTCCCAAACTAAAACAGTTTGGGGAGCTGTAAATGTGTGGGTGGGTGGAAGGCTGGGAAGAAAGGGAAAGAGATAAAACAACATAATTTTCTATTCTCATATTTTTTTATACATATATATATGAGACAGGATCTTGCTCTGTCGCCCAGGCTAGAGTGCAGTGGCATGATCATAGCTCACTGCAGCCTCGGACTCCTGGGCTCAAGTGATCCTCCTGCCTCAGCCTCCCAAGTAGCTAGGGCTACAGGTGCATGCCCACCACACCTGAGCCTTTTTTTGGGAGTCTTGCTATGTTGCCCGGGCTAGTCTTGAACTCCTGGCCTTCAGCGATCCTCCAGCCTCAGCCTCCCTAAGCTCTGGAATTACAGGCCTTCTCATATAATAATAGATAACTAGCCACTTGGAGTGGTTCATGAATCTCTTAATCTCTAAACTGTTCAACTGGAATTTCTTGATTTTTCATTTTTATTTTAAACATGACATACAGTAACTTCTCTTTTATAGGTTTGGATAAATACTTCAGACATTATATTGGTCGGTCTCCGAGACTACCAGGTAAAAATTACATTTAAATATTTTATTTTTTACTGGCTTGAATTTGATGAACCATTCCTTAAGAGCCAGTTGTGTCTTAGCCATTGTGCAAAATACCCCAGGGATTATGGTTCCCAAATGCCAGTTTGTGGAGTCAACATGTGAACTTTTCATGAAGCTAAATAGTCTCTTTATTTTATAGGTCTTTAAATCAAAGCCTGGGAACCATTATTCTAGGGGATACAGCTGAGTGAGTCAAGCTCCTGTCCCACCAAAGGCATATAGCCTGGTATTGGAGAAAATAAGAGAGGCACACAAGTAATAACAATGCACACCACAACAAAAATGTGTGTAATGAATTTAAATGAGCGCTTGGAAAGAAAATGTTAGTTGCCCTTCATATTCTTAACCTTGACTATATGCTCATTGTGGGTTTGTGAAATCCATTTGATTTCCACCTATTGGAACTCATCCCTGTGTGATATTATTAATATTTTTATAGCCTTGATTATACTTTGATTTTTAAAAAGTATTTCAGAATAAAGAATTAAAATCTTCACTTTAAATCATTGGTTCTCAATTGTGGGCAGTTTTGCCCTCCAGGGGACATTGGCAGTAACTGAAGACATTTCTGGTTGCCACAACTTGGGGAGTGGTGCAGAGCTGCTGTCCTGTATCACATAGAGGCCAGGGGTGATGCTAAACATCCTACAATGCATAGGACATCATCCCCCAGCAAATAATTGTCTGGTTCAGAATAATCAATACTGCCAAGGTTGAGAAAGCCTTTTTTAAATTCATACCATTTTAATGTCCATTTTCTTCTTTGGATCTTAACAGTAACCCCAGAAGAAGGAAGAATAATTAATTCCCTTTTTGACAGATGAGGATACCAGGGGTCCGAAAGCAGTAACTTTCTAGTTGTAAAGTGACAGCCAGGACCAGCTCTTATGATTCAGAATCTCTTGTGATTCTCCTCCTATTCTCCTGCCGCTTACAGGGTGGTCCCGGAAGCAGCAGCATCATTGTCTTCCGGGAGCATGTTATTACAGAAAGGCAGATCCTTGCACTCCACCCCAGGTCTCCTCAATCAGAGCATGCATTTTAATAGGATCCCCATAAGCTTCTGTACACTTCACATTTTAAGAAGTACTGGTCTTAATCACACCGCCCTTGATGTTGAAGCGATCAATTTTCTCTCAGATTCTTTTCAAATGGGGAAATACAAACATTCTAAGGCATTATGTTTCAGTGGGACATTTGCATCAGAGCACCCAAAGAACTTCTAAAAATACAAATTCTTGGGCTTCACTTCATGTCTACTAATCTATCTTCAGGAGATGTAAAAATAGCACAGGATATTCTGATTGATACATACCCTGAGAAACACATATATCAAAAGGTGTATTAATTTTCATAGGTCATTGTACCAGTCCCAGTTTTTGAATTGCATGTCTGATCACCCTGCAAATTATGTTCCCAAGGAACTCTTGTATTTCAAAAGACTTCTCTATTCAAAGGGTAATAGTAAATAATCTATCTAAAAGATGGGATCTGCACAGTTCTCTTATTAAAGGCAGATCTGTAAATATATTTCCTAAGCTTTTTAATCATTATTCAGTCATGCATGTATGCTTCCTACTGGGTTAAACCCAAGGATGTTTTTCAGGGGGTTGGAGAAAACTTTAAAATTTAAAAAAAAAGAAGAGTTTCTAGCAAAACAGTGAGATTGGACTTTTTTATTCAGTTTGAAAATAATTTGTGAAATGACTGAATATTTTGGCATAATTAGTTTTAAAACTTACTTGTCTCTATTTAAGGATAACAAAGCCGATGTAATTTTAAAATACAATGCAGATGAAGCTAGAAGTCTGAAGGCATATGGCGAGCTTCCAGAGCATGGTAATGTTCTATTAACCTGTTACATGGTATTTAGGTTATTTGTTGGTGTTGAGGTGAAGGAATTTTGGTAGAATTTTGTGGATTTTGCATATTTGCTTTTGTGCTTACACAATTAGTTTTAAGTATGCCTGACTATACTTAGTTCTACTAGGTAATATAAGAAAGAAGTTACTGGAGTTCTGTTCCTAATAAATATACTTGTGGTGAGGAGTTATAAGCCCTAGACTTCTACATAATGCCAAAGAAACAGTTTTGTTATATTTATTTTAAAATTCCTTACTCAAGAGACTGTCAAGTGTTTGTCTGCATTAAACACAAAGCAATGACAATAATTAGGTGCCGTTGATTTTTATTAAAAACTTAGTTTTCGGTCCATCTTATCCTTGTATCATAGTAAACCAACATTCTTTGTTTTCCCCCTCCAAATGTAACACTAATGTATTCTTAATGCAGAACTAAAACAAAAATGAGTCCCTCATAACGTCATCAAAGGGGAAACATACTTTGCATACTATTTTGTAAGCCTATATTTTTCATTTTTGACTCTGTTCTCTGTTGTATTTTATTATGAATAACAACCTAATTTTACTTAAGTGTGAAAGTTCTGCCAAAATTATGTTCTTGGCATTTCCAATTTAGGAAATACTAGTGTATCTAGGGAAGAGTAGAATTAACACTTCCTGGTTCATTTTCATTGCTCAGGGAAAAGCATGATTTGACCGGTCTGACTGATGAATCTATCTCATGGTGAACCACTATTATCTCAAGGAAATAAGTTGTTAGCATGTGCTCAAACCTTCTTTGAAGCATACCTGGAAGTTAAAATAGCTTCAGAACTAGTGTAATTAGAGCCTGCCTTACTAAAAATACCTTTGCGAACAAAAGAAAATTATAACGTAAATACTCTCCTTCTTGACATAGCAGCGACCTTGCAGGGAATTTTGCTGTATTAAATATACTGTATAGTAGTAGTAGTTTTGTTATATAGAAGTTAGGAAGACTTTTCTTATAATGAAACTTAAATTACAAGGTTGACTTGTGAAAGTCTCCTTTTATAGTTCAGCATTTGATATCAGACCTACGTCTTTTAGTGGGTAGTTATTCGTTTTAATAACATTTTAGTTTTATTATATGAGTATATTTATTATTGTGTCTTTAGCTAAAATCAACGAAACTGATACATTTGGTCCTGGAGATGATGATGAAATTCAGTTTGATGACATTGGAGATGATGATGAAGACATTGATGATGTAAGTAGATGCACCTTGCATTTCTGGTTGTTCCGTTACTGTCCACAGAGAAATAAACTCTTTCCCCTAACTTCCTTCAATTTTAAGAATACGGGACACTTAAATGAGGGTATATTTGGCATATTTTGAGACTAAATTATACTCAGTATTATTCAGAAGACAACTAGTCAAACAGTTTATACTTTGAGAATTCTTCAATATTCCTGAAAAGATCAGTGTTTGTTTTGGCAATATAAACACTCTAATTGTAAAACTTGTTTAATTAAGAGTGTCTAAAGAGATAGCTATTTAGTATGTTAAAAGAAAAATCTTATTTGAATCAGGATTGGAATTACAAGATATACTGAAAGCCTAGTTAAGATGGAGGCCTGTTGCCAATTACATTATTTTATCTGTTTGGTAGGTGCTATTGGCACTCTTAGTTTGGAAGTTGATATGTTTATTTTGAGGAAAATGTATTGTTTTTCCTGATGATAAACCAGTAATCCCCATACAAATAAATGCTTCAGTGCACTTCTGTTACTATATTTGAATGAAATTCAAACTTAGTCTTTTGGCAATATACATTTATTTAGTAAAATTACAGGTAATTTTATAGGGGTGGTATCATAAGTTACTCTTAAATCTGGTTTGGGTTGTTCTTTTCAACTCCCTTTACATAAAATGTAGTTCAGAAACCACCTTTCTATATAAATCCAAAATAATAATAAGCCAGGCACGGTGTCATGTGCCTGTAGTCCTAGCTGTTCTGGAGGCCGAGGCAGAAATTCAAGGCTGTAGTACATGGTGATCGCACTTGTGAATAGCTGCTGCACTCCAGCCTGGGCAACATAGCAAGATGCCGTCTCTAAAAAAAAAAGTAATAATGTTTGACTTCATTCAAAGATGGAATTTCAGAATACTTAGAACACTTGTTCCTGACTCAAGATTATGCAATAGAATCGCCAGAGATTTTCAAAAGTATGGGGGCCAGTTTTGGGGAAATCTGATTTAGGCATCACAACCTCTGCTTACCACAGAGATTCTTCAATTACCATTTTTCTGTACTTGATTTATCGCATATCCATCCATCCCTCTACTCATCCTTCAGTCCATTTTATATTTTGATGCATCTCCAAACCATTTAAAATACACCATGAATTAAAATTTGTGTACATACCTTCAATGTATATGTGCATTTGAGTTTTTAAACACAAGAATACTATTATGAGGTTATATGCATTTTAATGCATACCCCAAAATAGAAAGTGAGAAATAAATATGTTGTTTTATTATTTTGTTAGTGTACCTCTCTTTGGAGACCCTGAGCCAGGAGAATTCTTGTGACTAAACTGCTACTAATAATTTGACCATAGAGTTAACAATTCTATTCTGTGGTAAGAACCTGACATGCAGCTGACTTGTGGATTAAGGGCCCATCCAAACATTTTTGTAGCTGAGCCAGGGTAAAAGCCCTCTTTAGAAAATTAAGGAACTTAACCAGAGAACATGCATGAATATGAAGCCACATACACCAGAATGATAGGTTGAGGATTTATAGTTAAGATTTCTCAGAAAAAAAGTTCTGAATCTGTGCCAGTGCCTCCTCAGAACCGGACCCAGCTGGCCGGCTGGAAAAGAGAAGATAAAGACAGTGGTTATTAAAGGAGTTTGAGTTTTCTTGAACGTTTTGTAAGGGTTTGCTCTCCATCACCTGAGAACTCTACTTTTCCGAGACATTTCTCCATGTGGTTTATAGGTGTTCTAGCCATCACTCCTATAACAAGATTGACTTGGAGGAAGATTAGGTCAGTATCACACTTATCCTGTTCTTAAAGAGATCATGCTCCTCCGTGTCTCCTCCTACCCACAAAATGTGAAATTTTTTATCACTAGCACAAAAAGAAGAAAGGAGATACTAACATTACAAAAGAGATTTACTAATAGCAGGCTGGAATTGAGAAAAACCTGGTATGTGGAATTTGGTCTTCAAATTGGATTTATTTCCCAGATAGCCTAAGGATGTGAAAGTCTCCCTTATATGTAGTAGGCTGTTGGAATATAAGAATTCTTTTTCCTTTTGGCCTGATGTTCTTTTTCCCTTCCAGATCTAAATCGAACTCAACATTTTACATTCCAATTTCTCTGAAGATTGTCCTACAGTATGGATTTTGGCCAACACCCTTAAAGAAGATTAAAATTTCATTAGCATGAATGCAATTTGTTAAAGCAGACTGATTTGTTTCTAAGGTATTTGTGTTTCTTTAAAAACTGATAATGCTGAATTACGTTAAGTGAGATGTTAAGCCTACTTTGTTCTTTTGATGTAATGGAGCTTATGGGTAGATAGAAGACCACATCTCCTATTTTAAAAAAGAAAAAAATGCATTGCTGCCTTTCCTACTTTGACCACTTCCAGTAAGTAAATGGATGTTTCGAATAAACCATTTGCCTTGTATTCAACATGAATTACGATTAAGCCCTAGTTTTGACTAGCCTATTGACTGTACAGAATCTATATGTGTATTCCAGTTACCTAGATGTTCTTTGAGATTTTGATAAAATGTGAGGGAGGCAGAAATCTGCATTTGAAGTCAAAAATGATAAGTCTGTTTTACATATTTAAGTAGCATGTGGCTATTTTTATACTAATTTTGATATTATGTACATTCTTTTCATGATCTCGTTTTGCCACCATAAACTTATCCAAAAAAGCATTTCTAAAATGTACTTTTCAAAACCTGGGTTTTAATAGCAATTTTGAATTTGTAAGCTTGGGAGTTACAGAAGTTGAACACTAGGTGGCACCCAGTTATCATAACATTGGAAATATTGATATAATTCTTGACTTTTTTTCTGTGCAGAAAAAATTTCCCAAACATGAAGAGATTGTTTTGATCATGTGCATGTGTGTAGAATATTTTTACAGAACAGAAAGATTATGTTAAAAGTGTTATTTTATTTTCAGAAGTCATACATGTAAGCTACAATTTTGAGTGCTTTATGAACACTTAAAATATATATGAATGAAAATTTAATTTCATAACAATTTGTACAAATCAAGCTGTTTTCAACATATCCCTAACCTGGGGAAAGAGAAGGGAATAACAACTTAATGAAAAGATGGTCTCCAATTTCTGAATGGAAGAACTACAGCTGAGAAATATAATAAAATGTCATGCTGCAGAGTATATTATACCCTTACTTTGTATTAAGGATGTATTTTATTATGTGGAGAGGTTTTTTTTTTTTTCCCCTTGTGTTGGGAACTAAATTCACCCTTCCTTATTTTGTTTTTAGTTATTCACTCAAATCAAATGAAATTAGGGCTGAACTAGGTAGACCTCATTAGCCACATTGAAATCATGTGCAACTTGAAAACATGAGATCCATCATGTAGCTTGTGATACTTTTTTTCTTTTGGTCTCCAGAGAACTTTTTGGTGATGAAAAGTAATACACGGGGTAATAAACCTTCACATGGCTTCCAAGGAAAAAAGCAAATCTTCCCTAATCTACTCTCACTTTAAGTTCCTTTCCTAAGTATGCAAACTCTGGATTCAAAAATCTGAGGTACTATAAAACATTAAGTTGAAGAATAGAAATTAAGAGTGCATAATTGTGGTGGTTGTTTCTTATTCTCTGGCATTCCTGAGTACTTACCTTGGTGGAATGAATCTGAGATCAAAGGCCGGTTTTTAATACTCCTAAGAAACCAGCCTTGAAGAATTGACTTAGTGATTGTCTTCATCAGTAATCTAAACCTCCTGAGATATTTAGGCTTCTGTGCATAAGTGTTTTGATGAATTTACAGTATATATGGATCGTTCCGTGTTATTTTACCAAGAATGTTTGAGCTTGCCATATGTGATATAGTTCCTGATAGGGATAGTGCAACTCAAATATTTTTCTGCTTTCCTCCTCTAACAAATATGGTTAGTCTAAAAATTACAACTGTGACCCTAATTCAAGCATTCGCTGGTTGGTGGTCAAGGTTTTTTCCTTGCCTAGATAGTAACAGCCCGATCTAGTGCTGTTCTTTCTGGAAAATCTCAAATCATAATGATTATAGCGTAAAGTTGTAGCTCATATACAACACTAGTTGGAGGAATTCTTTCACTAATTTGTATTTAATGTGGAAACTGTATAGTTTCATTGATTACATTTCAAATAAGGAATGGAAGTGGTCTTCAGGAAGGTTTTTTTGATTTTTAAATTTTTTGTTGTTTTCTAGGTTATATGCTTTGATTCCTATAATACGATGCTATGAGCTATGCCCAGAAACAAAATAAAATGTTTGAAATCCAAGAATAATGGTTTTTACTGTTAAGAGAGTGTAATAGTTATTACTAATGAATTTGATGGGGTTGCATTTTTCATGCAGTGTTTGTTCCACTTCCAGTTAGAGTATAAATATGTTGTATTACTAAGGTGGCTAAAAAAACCAAGCTTTTGTGTAAAAAAGATTTGCCAAGATTTGTTTGACTGCTGATTATCTTAAACACCCAGCCTCTAAAGAGACCACATCTTCAGGAGCCTGTAAACTGTGCATGATGGAAATTCTTGATTTTATTGAGGAATGGCCATTGGTTTACTTACCACATCTATGGAATCGTGGCTGTAAATAGTTGCTTACAAAACTTACGAAACTTGTGAATTGTAATTTAACTTAATTTCATCTACCATACGTAAATATTAAATTATGATGTTCAATAACATCTTTAATAGGTACAAACTGCTGTCAGTGTCAACTTCAGAGTAACTCTGAGTAATAAAATAGGTAAAAAAAAAAAGCATGCTTTGAAATACCTAGTTAGATTATTTGTATCGTGTACAGATTTAACAACAGCCAGTGTTGACTGTGTGTGGCTTGACAGTTTAAGTAGCAGAATGAAAGTGAGGTTTCTTTATGTTACCTTACTGTCATAAAGATGAGAAGGATTTGTATTGGTATGAAATGTTTATCCTGCTTAGTAAGGGTAAGTTTCATTTATACTGTTTGAACTCCTGTGTACTTTTGAACACTACTTTGTGTTTTTGGTTTACCCTAAACCACCATTTTTTGAATCCTTGCTTTTTTACCTCCTATTCAGAAAAGAACAAAATCTTAAATCTTAAGAATTAAGTCTTACAAGTGTGAAAAGACACTAGATTCTCAGGTATACAATGAACTGAGCAATTTGGACAGCATATTGGACTTTGTCCTCCCTCCCCCCACCCTGCCCCCAAACCCCAGCTGCAAGGTACTTGTGAGGCAATGTGCTGGAGAGGTAAGAGCATGGGCCCTGGGTTCAGATGGCCTGTACCCTAGTCCCTGTTCTGCCCTTCACCTGTAGGTAACCATGGGCACCTTCTCCAGCTTGTCTAGGCATCAGGGGCCTCACTTGTAAGATGAGGGTGATGAGAACTGTACCTGTCTTGCAGAGTTGTTGGGAAGATTGATAATTTAGACATTTATAAATGTAATGCACTTAGAGCAGTGTCTGCCTCTTTTCACTCGATGTCCAGGACTATGTAAAATAGAAGATGCATGTCTTCTATATTCTCCATTTACCATTTCTTTTTTGTACAATCTTTGATTCTTAGGATAGAAGGAACATGTAGAATATGTATTTGTATATTCATTTTGACACAGTATAATGGATGTTTCGAATAAACCATTTGCCTTGTATTCAACATGAATTACGATTAAGCCCTAGTTTTGACTAGCCTATTGACTGTACAGAATCTATATGTGTATTCCAGTTACCTAGATGTTCTTTGAGATTTTGATAAAATGTGAGGGAGGCAGAAATCTGCATTTGAAGTCAAAAATGATAAGTCTGTTTTACATATTTAAGTAGCATGTGGCTATTTTTATACTAATTTTGATATTATGTACATTCTTTTCATGATCTCGTTTTGCCACCATAAACTTATCCAAAAAAGCATTTCTAAAATGTACTTTTCAAAACCTGGGTTTTAATAGCAATTTTGAATTTGTAAGCTTGGGAATTACAGAAGTTGAACACTAGGTGGCACCCAGTTATCATAACATTGGAAATATTGATATAATTCTTGACTTTTTTTCTGTGCAGAAAAAATTTCCCAAACATGAAAAGATTGTTTTGATCATGTGCATGTGTGTAGAATATTTTTACAGAACAGAAAGATTATGTTAAAAGTGTTATTTTATTTTCAGAAGTCATACATGTAAGCTACAATTTTGAGTGCTTTATGAACACTTAAAATATATATGAATGAAAATTTAATTTCATAACAATTTGTACAAATCATGCTGTTTTCAACATATCCCTAACCTGGGGAAAGAGAAGGGAATAACAACTTAATGAAAAGATGGTCTCCAATTTCTGAATGGAAGAACTACAGCTGAGAAATATAATAAAATGTCATGCTGCAGAGTATATTATACCCTTACTTTGTATTAAGGATGTATTTTATTATGTGGAGAGGTTTTTTTTTTTTTCCCCTTGTGTTGGGAACTAAATTCACCCTTCCTTATTTTGTTTTTAGTTATTCACTCAAATCAAATGAAATTAGGGCTGAACTAGGTAGACCTCATTAGCCACATTGAAATCATGTGCAACTTGAAAACATGAGATCCATCATGTAGCTTGTGATACTTTTTTTCTTTTGGTCTCCAGAGAACTTTTTGGTGATGAAAAGTAATACACGGGGTAATAAACCTTCACATGGCTTCCAAGGAAAAAAGCGAATCTTCCCTAATCTACTCTCACTTTAAGTTCCTTTCCTAAGTATGCAAACTCTGGATTCAAAAATCTGAGGTACTATAAAACATTAAGTTGAAGAATAGAAATTAAGAGTGCATAATTGTGGTGGTTGTTTCTTATTCTCTGGCATTCCTGAGTACTTACCTTGGTGGAATGAATCTGAGATCAAAGGCCGGTTTTTAATACTCCTAAGAAACCAGCCTTGAAGAATTGACTTAGTGATTGTCTTCATCAGTAATCTAAACCTCCTGAGATATTTAGGCTTCTGTGCATAAGTGTTTTGATGAATTTACAGTATATATGGATCGTTCCGTGTTATTTTACCAAGAATGTTTGAGCTTGCCATATGTGATATAGTTCCTGATAGGGATAGTGCAACTCAAATATTTTTCTGCTTTCCTCCTCTAACAAATATGGTTAGTCTAAAAATTACAACTGTGACCCTAATTCAAGCATTCGCTGGTTGGTGGTCAAGGTTTTTTCCTTGCCTAGATAGTAACAGCCCGATCTAGTGCTGTTCTTTCTGGAAAATCTCAAATCATAATGATTATAACGTAAAGTTGTAGCTCATATACAACACTAGTTGGAGGAATTCTTTCACTAATTTGTATTTAATGTGGAAACTGTATAGTTTCATTGATTACATTTCAAATAAGGAATGGAAGTGGTCTTCAGGAAGGTTTTTTTGATTTTTAAATTTTTTGTTGTTTTCTAGGTTATATGCTTTGATTCCTATAATACGATGCTATGAGCTATGCCCAGAAACAAAATAAAATGTTTGAAATCCAAGAATAATGGTTTTTACTGTTAAGAGAGTGTAATAGTTATTACTAATGAATTTGATGGGGTTGCATTTTTCATGCAGTGTTTGTTCCACTTCCAGTTAGAGTATAAATATGTTGTATTACTAAGGTGGCTAAAAAAACCAAGCTTTTGTGTAAAAAAGATTTGCCAAGATTTGTTTGACTGCTG